ATCTATAATGATATTATATATTTGTTGTGAGCCTGTAGCCAGTAGCGACTAGATATTGAATGGTGCGTACATATTAAATTCGATTAATTTGCTGTTGAAACTTAGGACATTCAAAAAAGATGTGATCAAGATCACCCAGTTTTCCGCAATGTTTACAATTACCATCTTCAATCACATTTATTTTATATCAATGACTTGGATAGCACGCATGTCCAAATCGTCGTCTATTTATGGTGGTTATATATTTACGTGGAGATTTAAAATTCTTAAACCTTAAGTAGTTTGTGGAATAGCTGGTTGTAAAGTGGTATTGTATTGCATCTTGAATGGTTTGTAAAGCAGTAAGGTTCCATTTATCTTTTCATGTCGACAGCTGTTTTTTTTTTAAATCGTAATGGCATCTGATACACATAAAGAATATGACAATAAAGTGCCTGATATTATACTGGTTTTAGCTAAGTAATCTACATATTCATTAACTTTAAGTCCAATATGTGCCTTAACCCAAATAAATTTTATATTAAAGTGAAAGACAGTTTGAAAGAATTAACGATTTTTTAATATAAGAGTTTTTAACATATTTCAAAGCTTCTAGTATGGCCAATGATTCCGCCGAAAAAATTGAAAACTCATTGGAAAGAAAATTGATTTAGTAGTGTAAAATCTTTAACTGTCTGTTTTTTGTCTGTAATAATAAAGTCGATCTCATTTTTGATCTTAAAATCATTACATATTATCATGAAATGTTCGTGGAATTCTGTAATATCTGTATATAAGTTATTGTAAAACTGGTCTATTTCTTCCTCAGTGTGATCCAATGTTGGTGCATAGACTTAAATATTCTTTTTGGAGTAACGGGTTGTAATTTTAAAGTTTTGCCATTAAAGAATTCCAGCTCCCAAAACACCAACTAAGTTGTTTTTTAGGTGTTTTAGTAAACTCTACAGCTTTCTCCCACATTCCCAATATCTGCCTTATACCTCTTGTAGAGATAACCGACTCCATCTCTGGTTCCTCGTCAAAAGAAATTTTTCGTTGAACCACTTGAACCACCGTATGCTACAACGAATGTAGCTGGTGTAACTTTTCGGTTGTCAGCTCATGAGACTGCTCTTCGACGAGTTCGTTCAAAACTATCTCATCCACCTTCAGCCCATGGATTTTGCCCAGAGAAATAGTCTATAGTATAGGTTAAGGTCATTGTTATATCACCCACTCAGGCCTGATCAATAATTCTTAGGCATATCACGATGTTCCAGTGGCCTTCCATAACTCTCAAAGGGTAAGTTTGTGTTGTTCATCACCTCAAAGCAGCGCTCAAAATATGTTTGGTGTACAACTTTTTAAAATTAGAAATCACTAATGATTAGTATATTATTCCATTAAAAATAAGAGTGGTGTTTAGTGATAGGTAAATAACCATCATAAACTTGAACTCTTGGAGTAAATCATCTTCGAGATTTGGTGGGTGAGCAGGGGCATTGTCGAGGATATGTTGTTTTCCTGTAGATACTTTTAACAGACAAGCTAAATACCAGGTTTATCCACCCCCCAAAGAATTTATAAATGACCCACGCCTTCAGATTTACACTCCACATAACTTGCAGTTTTTCTTTTAAAATCTTATGTGATTGTGAGGCTTTGGGATTTTCCTAATGATATACTAGCAGATGCTTGATTTTGCAGTCGCCTCTCACATTGGCGTAAATTGCTAGAGTTAATTTATCCTTCAAATGTTTGTGACCTGCATTGTCTTCTCCTCTGGCGTTATGTAAGTCTTATTCTGCATCCTTTTCCAGAAAAGCCCTGTCTCGATACAGTTGAAGACCTGCTGTATGATGTATACCTACGCTTCCATCAGTTCGGAAAACATTTTAATGTAAATCTCAGCTGCCTTTACATCCAAACTTGGTGTCTAACCATGCTTAACGACAAAGTGAATGTCAGTCATTCTCCTAAAGTTGTCAAACTAGCCACGACTAGCTTTAAACAAGTCTTTCGATACTTCGCTTGTGGAAGTGTGTGGGATCTGCTTTAACAAATCACCGTATACCGCTCCTGCCTTCTGCCATATGATGCTTTGTCACCTACACTATCAGTAGGTAGTTCCTCCATATCTTCATGGAGAGAGGTTTGGACCTAAGAAGTTATTGTACCGCACTTAGCTGGCGTTATACCCTTTATCAACTCCTTCTGTTTAAACACAATCCATATGATTGATGTGTCACGTTTATACATCCTTATCAAGTTAATTACTCGCACACCTTGCTTATGGTTTTTTATGAGATCACTCTTTATTTCAATAGACCTTATCTTCTTCTTTGGACTCATGGTCATAAAAATAAATGTAATGATGTTTTGTAAATATACAAACAGCAAAAACGGCGAACCCAACTTATCAAGAATATGTAACAATAAAACACTTAAAACTTTGTTTTCAAACTTCCACAAAATTTATTTTAAATCTTATCACTACAGCTGTTTCGGCTGATTGCCTTTCTCAAGTGATCTATTTTTGGCTTGGGTTTACAAATTTATAGTCTCCAATGAAATAGGTTAAGGAGGGGTGAACTGTTTGTCTCAAGTTGGTCATTCAGAACTATATCTGTGTTTTTTAAATTTCTAACAAAGATAGCTTAAGGCCTTTATTTTAAATGTGAAGAATTTTAAATTTGTTATTAAAATAATGATTATGATCTAGAAGGTGAAGTGCGTATGTCGAATCTTTTTTTCTATTCTTGAAAGCCCTTTTATGCTCTGCTATTCGTTTATCAAAGTTTCTACCAGTTTGACCGATGTAAGTTTTTGGGCAGTCGCCACATTGAAGTTTGTACACACCACTATTTAAGTGTTTGTTATTTTGGCTCTTGTTATTTTTAATATATTTGCCTAGGGTGTTATTTGTTCGGAAAGCTGGTGTTATTCCTTTCTTTTTTATGTGTTTTCCGATTAATATTTTGTTCCAAAACTTTTAGTACATTCTTCTTATTATGTCTGTTTGACACTAAAATAAGTCCAATCTCTGATATTTCTCTGCTAAGATTTCTTCTTTCTTTCCAACCCTTTTGCCCCTCTACTCTTCCTTGCATCATGACGTGTAGAAGAGAGTATGGTTTCAAAGTATGTGGCCCAGGTACAATTTTTTTCTTATGTTAATTGTGTTCATAAGCTTTCTGCCATGACCAAGTCGTCTTAACACTCCTTCATTTAAGACTTTTAAAGTCCAAGGAATTTTAAGAATACGGACGGAATTTCAGGATGTACGTTATGATTCCCAGCTTATTTTTTATTATTGAAGGACCCACCCACAAAACTTACCTTTTCATCATTCTCTCCTACATGATAGCAAATATGATTAAATTTTAAAGTGTTTAGGCTTTGTCCATTTCATCTAACTTTTGTGACTCCAACTATGTCCCAATTGATCTTATTTATGAATTTTTAGAAAGAAATATAATTTAGTTCTAATATTGTTTATATTCATCAATCTTTAAATTAAATAATATATAACTTTACTAAATATTTTAAAGCATCTAAAGCCATTCATTGTGCCTTTTCGTAACTTGTGAGAAGTGCGTGTTAGTGTATACTGAAAAACAAAGTGTTCTCTTATGTTTGTTTAAATCCAAGTGATGTTGCAAAGTGTAAAGTTGCAACTGTATGTTTTCACTATACTAAAACTATACTACTACGAGTTTTTTACGTTTTTTGAAAAAATAATTTCAACTTGTAAAAACCCTTCTGTAGCAATACAATTTTCTATATATCTAGGAAAACTATTCTTACTAAAGGTTCAAATGTTTAGTGCTAAAAGCTCTTGATACTAAAATCATCTAGCAATTAGCTTTTATAAATGGAAAAAAGTTATTTTATTACATTATACATATAAATATATATATATAGATATATATATATATATATATATATATACATAAGCAGTGAAAAAACAATGGAAAGGGGTGGAATCCTTTTCAAACTGTAACTGTTGAAGATCTTACTCAGATATGAGGAGAAAATAAATAAGCTAGATGTTATATACTAGCAGAAACGTTTCGTTTTGTACTTACAAATCAGCATTAATCAATATCGGCAAGAGTAACACTCTTTTAGAAGAATTTGTAAAGTTCTTTGAATTACAAGAGAAAGTCTAAAAAGTGTCAGTAAGTTTTCCGGAAATTTAAAGAAGGCGCGAAAAAATATATGGAAATGAGAGGATATACAACAAATGATAGCAAATATATCAAAATGAAAATAGTAGAGGCTGTCTACAGTTTTAAAAAAGTGACAGAGTTAAGAATTTAGAAGCAACTATAATGAACAGAGGAAAAGAAGGAAAAAAGATAGACAAAAGATTGGAAGGGAGCAGTGCGATCCTAAGTATAAGAGACAGCAAACAGACCCACGATAATATATGCCAGCTGAACGTGGATCATGGACTAGTAAAAAAAAAGAAAGTGCAACTGGGAAATAAAAGTGTTAAAAAGGTGGAAAAATCTTCGGAGGAATGCAAATGACAAATAATATTTGAAGATTAAAAAAAATGCAGAAATAATGTGTATGTATGGAAAACCAATTATTACAGCAAAAATACGAGCCTACAGAGCTAGGTGGCTGTTTATTGGAATTCCATAGAACCGAAATGTTAAAACAACACTGGAGGAGGGAGAAGTGGGGGAAAATAGGAGGGCGTCCAAAGAACAAATGGTTGGACGCAGTAAAGCAAGACTTGGTACAAATAGGTGTGAGCGATTGGAGAGAAAAAGCAAAAGACCGAAGAAAAATAGAAAGAAATAATAAAGTTTTTGGAAGATAGGGGCCTTCAACGCCTGATATGACAATTTACCTAGACGTTTAAGTAAAACAAAACCGTTTTCAATTACCTTTAACTCGTTCAATTTAATTAAAATATCGTAATATTGAATTTATGTTAAAAAACTTTTTTCCATCCATTAAAAAATAAAACTCTTTCTAGAAAAATACTTTATTTTATTATAACTTACATTGTATTTTCTCGATGATATTTGTCAACAAGTGTCAAATCAAATTGGATAACTTCCAATTCTGGAGTACCCAAATATACTTCTGTGGGTTGTTCCGACGAAGATGCATCTTCATTTTTTTCCAAACTAACAAAAAAATAAGAAAGTTATTATATATCAATAAAATATGAGACAAATTAATTTATTTGATCAAGTAATTTGTACTAATGTAACAATTAACACAACATACAAAAATTATATAAGTTTCACTCAAGGTAAAATCAAAGAATATAGACGCTTCTAGAACGCTAGAACGTATTGCTTTTTTTGCAACTTAAAAATAGTATCAAATTGGGCCGCTGTACTAGAACACACCAAAATGGAAGCCCATATCGAAGATGGGACTCGAACAATAAGAAATATGCCATTTTGGCAGAAGATAAATTAAGTTCCTTCGAAACAGATCTATTGCAAAGCAAGCTAAGGCTAGTTTCTTCCTTAAGGAGTCAGTATGCAAGGACCATTTGAGATCACTGTCAATGAGAATACCTAGAAATTTCACTGAATTTACGATATTGATTTGGCTCTCATTCAAAAGCAAGGGTTGCATGACTCCTTTATAAGATAATGCTACAGTCTTATCCACGTTAAAGCTAAGTAAGAATGGGACCTAATACTGAACCTTGCGGTACTCCACACATCAATATCTTTACAACTAGAGTCGGTGTCATTTATTCTAACCAATTGTTTCCTACTACCAAGTAAGTTTTGAACCAGTTCAAAGACACACCCCGAATTCCATAGAAAGTTAATTTTTTTAATAGAATGTCGTGATTTACGCAGTCAAAAGGCTTTGGAATAGTCGCAGAAAACGGTGGCGGAGGAGAGGTTACTATTTAGTGATAGATATACATCATGTAACACAGAAAATATGGCATCACTAGTGCATTTATTAGACAAAAAGCCGAACTGATACAATTTAGCAATTTAATAACTATTTCTTAGCTCTTAAAAACTACCTTTTAGATAAAAAATTGTAAAAAAATATTTTGCAACTTTATATTGTCTAATGATGATTTTACAGTGTTTAAACTTTTTTTATGTTTATAATTTGCTTCAAAAAGTGCGGCAGCTAGCTTGTCTGGGAATCACAGGGGCAGTGTCAGCATGCCCTACTGCTCTAGAGGCGATGCTAAACCTTCCTTCCTAGTTCTGTATAAGAAGGGAGGCACTAACTGCCATCTTATAACTGCCACAGACACATGTAATGAAACTTGGAGATCAAGTTGGTCACTGAAAAATCTTGGAAGAAATTCCATTGGATTCTAAGCACAGGCTGACAGATGCCATGTCAGTCAAACTTGATTTCGATAAGTGTGGTTTGGTGGTTTTTTATGACCACCGTTTAAAGTGGTCATAAAAAACCACCAAATGGGTAAAGAAGTTGATCCAAAACTAGTAGAAGAACGTTCACTCGTATGGTATATGGATGGATCTTAGATAGATGAAAAGGACTGGTAGTATACTGGGCCCAATTATAGATATTGGTACCCAAAAATGTCTCAACCGAAAAACTCGTAAAGCAAAAGTCTTTATTTTATCAGACATCCAAGCAAGCTTAAAGGCTTTAAAGTCATTTACTTGTTAGTGAAAGTTGGTTTGGAACTGTAAATAATCCCTCAAGAAGCTGGCGGAATGCAACAAAGTAACTTTTATATGCATGCCAGGTCACAAAGAAATCGCAGAAAAAGAGGAGGCTGATAGCCTCGAAAGAAATGGGTTAATACCCCATTCCAGGGTTCAAACGCGTCGCACTTATTAGTAACAAGGTAATTGTTTACCTTATTTCTCTGGACTATAATTTATTCAAAAACTATTGTCTAATATACACTTTATACAAACATTATTAAGACTATCATTTGACAAACGATAATGATATTAAAATATGTGGCACTATTAATGTTGATTTGCTTTTATTATTATTTTTTTATTAAGACCGTCTTTCTAAAGAAATACTAATACTTACAACTTCAGTAAATCTTCGTTATCAGGCGTTGTCATCTTGTAATAATAGACTTAACTGGTATTTCAACGCTTATCTGAAATGTCAACTATTAGATGATAAAAGATAATAATTAGTTACAAGACCTACCTAATTTACTGCTTCCTATTCTAAGGATAACTAACGATTTAAGTTTTTTGGTGAGGTCAATTATTTTTAACGCTCTATAGAATTCTTCTACAAGAGATTCAAATTCATCATAGCCATAGCCAGGCCCAACAGTTATTATTTAGATGACTGTGAATAAAAGCAATGTGATGAACTGGGGCACCGCCGTGTACAAACCACATTCGTTGTCGAATATTAAGCGGTAAATTTTGCAGATTGGTAGATTTGCAGATTGGTAGTATTGGCAAATGAATATTTAGAAAATTCAGATATATAGCACTACTCACACGATCGTCAAAAAAATGTAGACCAATTATATAGTGTCAAACACTACCACCCAAACATATACAGTATTGTGCAAATTAATGGAATCATAGGCTGTTTAATGAAAAAACAGTTTATTTAGTAAAAAATTATATTTTGACAAAACTATAAAGGTAAACTTACATCATTCAGTAGAAAATATGTCCCCCTTTGGCAGCAATTACTGCTTTACCCGTTTTGGCATAGATTCTATGAGTTTCTGGCAGTTGTCAGATATCCTTTCATCTCGATACCAAACCTGAATGGCCGCTTCTATCATTTTTGTTTTAGTGGTACAGTCGATTTTTCGCAGTCTAGCTTTGCAAATGGCCCATAAATTTTCAATGGGGTTGAGGTCGGGCGAATTACCGGGCCAATCTAAAACATTAATCTTCTTATTTTTGAAAAATGCCATCATTTCCTTTGATTTGTGACAGGGAGCAGAGTCCTGTTGAAGAATCGCTCCTCCTTGGGGTTGACATTTTTGGAGTTGTTTGTCCAAATACTTTTCCAACATGGATTTGTATTTTTGGCTGTTCATCATGCCTTCAATTGGCATCCAAAGATCCAACCCCCATGTATGAAAAACATCCCCAAAACATTTTCTTGTGAATATTGAAAAAATGAAAAAAAATTCACAGTGATTCCATTAATTCGCACAATACTGTATATACCACCTATTTAACTATGATATAATAAAGTAGGATTATTTTACGCCATCAATCCAATAGCACTACAGCACAAATCGGGCTTTGGCCTCCTTAAACAAGCTTCTCCAATCATTTCGATTTACAACTGTTCTTTTCCATGAACGCGTTTCCAGGCAATTCCTGGCATCCTCATCGACTTCGTCTTCCCATCTTTTTTTAGATCTTCCAACAGGTCTTTTTCTCTGCATTCTTGCATTTAATAATTTTCTGGGGATTCTATTCTTATGCATGCGGACCACGTGCCCTGCCGTAATCTCTGCAGTTTAGTGTATTGTGCTAGAGTTGGTTTGCTATATTGCTCGTATATTTCGCTATTATACCTAATTCGCCAGTTATTGTTTTGAGTTATTGAGCCCAGTATCCAAACACACTTAATGCATTGGCAGATTTCTGCGTAACCACACATGTTTCACAACCATAGCTTGTTTGATGCATAGCAATGAAAATTATGTCGATTCACTGTTCTATATTTGTGAAATAATATCATCTCCAAAAAGCACATACTCGAAAAAAAAATAGGTCGTATGCGCTTTTGACACTAATTATCTAATATTTAATGACAAATACTATCGTCAAATTTTTGGAACTCACATGGGATCGTCCATATCCCCCATTCTAGTTAATTCGGAACTCGACGACCTCATCAATGAGAGTATCAGTAAGTTAGATTTCCAGGTTCCCTTTGTAACGCGTTATATCGACGACTTGATTCTAGCAACACCACCTGATAAGATTTTGAACATCTTATCAGTCTTCAATAACGTTGATTCTCACCTTCAATTTACATGTGAATTGGAGGTTGATAATACCATGAAACAATGAAGACAAATACAGAAAAAAGAAAACTAATCATGCTTAAAGATGAGAACAATGAAGAAAGAGATCTAGGAGTAATAGTAAAAATCACAGAAAGATATTACACAGACCTATACAGTTCTAAAAATGACCCACCACTATCATCTAAACAGAATCTCATGAGGAAAATACAAAATGTTGGCTCAGAGGTATTACCAGAAATAACTGAAGATGAAATCGAAAAAATCCATAAACGACATGAAAAAAAAAATAAAGCGGACGGTGAGGACAAAATACTGGCGGAACTGCTAAAAGAATGAGGAGACACGATAAAAAAAATGCTAAAAATAATGTTCAACAAATCTCTGTTTGAAGGTAAAATACCTAAACAATGGAGAAATGCCAACACAATTTTAATACATAAGAAAGGAGACCGAACAGACCTAAATAACTACCGTCCTATTTCCCTTTGTCACAACTATATAAAACCTTCACAAGAATAATAAACAACCGACTAACCTATAAACTTGATAACTACCAACCAGTGGAACAGGCCGGATTCAGGAAAGAATACAGCACAATCGACCATTTACATGCGCTTAAAATCCTAATTGAGAAAACCAATGAATACAACCTTCCGCTGTACTTAGCATTCGTAGATTATGAAAAGGCTTTCGACAGCATTGAACACTGGGCGGTTGAAGAAGCTCTGGTCAATAGTAGAATAGATTCAAGATACCGACAATTGATACATGATATTTACCAAAACGCAACCATGACCGTAATTCTGGACGACAAATTAATAACGGATAATATAAAAAGTTAAACGAGGAGTCCGACAAGGCGATATAATTTCACCTAAACTGTTTACCTTGACCCTCGAAGACATAATAAAATCAACAGATTGGGAAAACAGAGGAATATGTATTAACGGAAAATACCTAAATCACCTTAGATATGCGGATGATATACTCCTGATCTCCTCGGAACGACAAGAACTAGAATTAATGCTGAATGAACTTCATTAGTAATAGGCAATAAAAATAAAAACAGAAAAAATAGAACAGGTAAATGAGTATATCTACCTAGGACAAGCAATCAGAGCTAACAGAGAAAATCAAACAGCCGAAATATCGAGACGAGTAAGAATGGGATGGGCAGCGTTCGGCAAACTTTCTTACGTTCTAAAAAATTAAACAATCCCTCTATACTTACGAAGCAAGGTATATAACTCCTGTATAATACCGGTGCTCACCTACGGAGCACAGACACGGACATTTACACAGGCCAATTTGGATAGGATAAGGAAGGCACAAAGAGCGATGGAGAGACAAATGTTGGGTGTATCACTTAGAGATAGAAAACGTAACCAGCGGATCAGAACCAGAACAAAGACAGTAGACGCGATAGAACAAGCAGCAAAACTGAAATGGAAATGGGCTGGACACAATGAACGTCTCCAAGACGGACGATGGAACAATGCCATCCTAAAGTGGCGTCCATACAACGCAAAGGGATCAAGAGGCAGACCACAGATGAGGTGGAAAGATGACATCAGGAAACAAGGAGGTCCCACATGGCAGAGAACAGTTCAAGATAGGGAAAGATGCAGAGAACTGGGGGAGACCTATATCCAACAATGGAAGGATAGAGAATAGGTTCAAAAAAAATACCATGCCGTTTTTGGATATGCGAGTCATATGCACACATAGTAACACATTGGGCACTACGTGGTACAGCAAAGAAATGGCGAGCAACCGGTTCTTAAATTACCACTCTACACACCCAATGAGATACAAACATAACCTTGTACAAGCTCTTAGCTTTAGAGTACACACGTTGACCCATACGCGGTACAAGAGGAATCTTTATATTTACTCAAATCCATTCTCATTGGTAACTCTTACCCTATATTCATTATCAACAGATATATTTTCTCTAAAAGCACGGACACTCTATTTCGGAAAAATCTGACGGTGCAATACTAGCCTCCATATCCAATAGCATACAGACGAACAATTCCCTATATGCTTATGCTTCTCTTCCATATTTTCCACAAATTATGAACAAACTTAATAAACTATTCAAAAACTTACCCGTCAAAGTATCCCTAAAAGATACCAAAACCATTTCAAAGTTATTCTCTAAGTTTAAAACTCTACTAAGCTCGTTAGAGCACACTAATGTTGTCTATCAGATACTCTGTTCTGAATACAACTCCTGCTACATTGGCCAGAGCAGTCGCTCGCTTCTAGAGCGTATAACTTTACATAAAAGCGACATTAGACTTTTCAAATCCTCTTGTGCCCTTGCACAACACGCCATTTCCACCAAACATTACATTGACTTCACAAATATCAAAATACTGGCAAAACAAAATAACCATCAGAAACGCTCCTTTCTTGAAATGTGTAAGATCCTCAAGAACCCATCTGCAATAAACAAAAGAACCGACATCGACAATTTGAGCCAGGTTTACCACTCTCTCATCTTACGAAATAAATAATACCAATTATTTCTTCAGTTAAAATGTGGCTTATTTTCCATTTAAAATAATAACACAATCATTCCATATTTCCAAGTCTTAATAAAACATAAATTAAAAAAAAAATATATCAAATAATTCCGCTATACAAATCCACCCGTCCAACTAATTATTCAATGACCCCCGTAGAAGTTCATAATTGTCTTAAACCTTCACAGGGATTGGAATTTGGTTAACATGGCCCTAAAATTTTCGGTATCGCGTCACGTCTTTTGCATAGATTGCAATGGATTGCAATAAATCAGTGTTTAGTCCAAAGACCATCTATTCCTTGGTTTAAATGGTCTTTGGTTTAGTTTGTCTTCATTGGAAAACCATCTCTAAATAAAGCCAAATGTCCGTTTGAAATTTTTAAATCTTCGAATATGAACATTATTATCTGCATAGTTTGTGTGTTTTTTGTTTTTTGTTTTTTTTTGTTAAGTTAGTTTTAAATGTTGAGTAAAATTTACAGTACATATTTAACATCGATAATATATTGAGTTGTAAGTAATGAATTATTAACACCTGTAGTTCTTATAAACCCTATGTCATCTGTTGTATTTTAGGGAACTGATGAAGCTTTAGAAATATAAA